AAAAAAAAACCCCCCCCCCCACCCCCCACCCCCCCCATTCACACATTTTCTTCAACCAAACCGCTCGCGAACCAGCATCATCAGTTTCTTTTTGCCTTTGTAGATTTGTTTTAGGTTGTCAATAAACTGTGTAAACTGGATGTGACCATCGTGAGCCATTAAGAAGGTCTCTCGGGCCTTGCTGAGGAACTCTATAAACTCGCTATAGTGTCGCGGGCTGATGTGAGTGAGACGTGAATGAGTTGTATTAATGTAAGCTCCGATCGTGGCATCCAAGAGTTGCCGCAACGGGGCTTTGTCCAGTGACATGAGCTTACCAGAGTTCCTCCTTCCGTGAAGTCCCACCATGCCAGGAGTGGTCAAGGTACACCTGCGCAGAATGTCTGACAGCACTGTGGCACACTTGACGCTTTTGACAACCAGAGGTATAATTGCTGCTAGCTCGTTTTTCCCAAGGGAGTGGCTGAGCGCACATGCCCACAGAACGTCGTTAATGGCAGGGTGCGTGTCCTGATTGTAACTCAGGTTGAGATGTGTCATGGCCAAAGTGGCCAGCTTGTAGGCCCGCATGGGGTAACCACGGTGCTCCATGTATCGTGCTATAGTAAAAAGCTGTGAGTAGCTCATGCCGGTTGTAGCAGCATCCAGAACAATTTGGTAAGCGGTCTCAAAAGCTATATGATCTTTTTCACATAAGGTCAGGGCAGAGAGGGCACAGTTTTGAGGATCCTTCATGGCACACTGTAGAGCAAGCGTCCTCGCACTGCCGGCCAATTTCTCCTGCTGATGGCAGTCCAGGTGCAGACGGACGATGGTGCTGTTGGACATCACTGTTGTAGCAACAATACTAGTGGCTTCTGTTGGAGTGAAAAGTGTAAACCAGTTTTGCATGATACTATCCAGTGCATAAACACCTGGGGAGAGAAAGAAAGGATTAACCACAACTGATAAAACCTAGCAGATACAGATGCTCAGCAAGAGATCTACATCTGCAGTGAAGTCTCAGAGGTTGCCAGTACATCCAAGAGGATGTGCTTCAGCAAGAAGGGCTAAACCAGACAGCATGGCTGGAAAGGACATTAAAGCAAAGGCTGCCGTGCAAACTCTGTAGCAACCACCAAAATTCAAAGAATAACAAAAAAAAGCCTGCAAGATAAACTTTCATCTCCTGGTGTGAAAACTGAGCTGTTTTACCTGTTATTTAAGACAATTTGGGTAACAAGTTCTGGCTCATTCGGTCTCATCACATCACTCAAAAGCAGCACTCACACTGAACATTCAAAAGGTAATTTCAACTTCTTACTGTCTGTGTCAAGGCACAGAGCATGCACAAAAGAATGGAAGTATGCTAAATTGCTTTCTTAATAAAACACCATGGTACACCTTAACAGAACACACCAAGAACACCTTAAAAAAAATCCTAACCCCCTCCTTGCTTTACCAAATTGATTAAGTCTCAGGAGTACTCAGCATGATGTTGTAAGGTTCTTTATGGGATACTTCTATTAGAATATGTAAACTAATTTAAAGCTGTATTAAAATTAGCATTTTATTTGCCAATATGCAACCACACAAAATACACAGGCACTAGTATCTTTAAGATAGCCTCAGCAATAATTATCTTAGCAAAGATATAAAAGCAATAAAACAAGAGCGTTGCATGAAAATTTGCAGACACAAACCATTTTCTGGTTGAGGGCATACAAAGGCAAGCTGTAGTTTCCCATGCTACTGACAACATTTATTTCACAGTTAAGCATAAAGTAAGGAATAAACTAATTCAGAGAATAAGCAGTAGCAATCCCCTGAAGTTCTGAAACTCAAGAAACACCTCTGCGATACAATCCAACTCACATGTATGAAGATGGAATAAATACAGTAGGGAAACATGCTTTCTAGAAATACATTTAGTGACAAAACTGCACTCATATAATAAGTACTTGTATTGTCCCCACTACCACAGCTGCCAATTTTTTTTTCCACAGCTACAGAGTTTTTTTTAATCCACTCATCTTTACTTTCCGATCCTGTATCCTCATCTCGCAGGTGGTAAACTGGAATACAGAAACTAAGAGACACCTCATCAAGACACAGAAATCCAAGAAATGATCAGAACATCATGCTGAGTGCTCCTGGTATAGGCTCCCACCTTATTTTCACCTTATGTGGTTAATTAACAATGGCTGCATCGGTATTTGGTTTGCTTTACAGTGCAGATGAGAGGCCTGCACAACATCATAGCCACACAACAAAGAGGCATTACACTCTAGGCTTGGATTTAGACAGGGGGATAAAAAAAAAAAAAAAAAAAAAAAGAAAAGCCTAACGAGAGCCCCTTCATGAAATCCTGTCTGCCACACAGTAGGAGGCACCCTCAGCATTTCACTCACCTGTTTACTGGTTCCTCTTCTCCTACCTGGCCAGACAGCTCTTTCACTTAACTTTCAGAGCAAGAAAAGATGTAGCACAGCGCAACAGGCCATAACCACGAGCCTTTTCTCTATTGGAGCCTCAAACCCCCTCCCATCATGGAGGGGACAAGGGGAAATCTGGGGTATTTCCCAGCGGTTATGCACAACCCCAGTTCGCGGTGGAAAGAAGTCATACTGCATTACTCCACTACTGTTCCACTTGGTCTGTGCCTAACAAAACCCACCTGCATCACTGCCATGTCTTCTCACTCAAGGAATTTTATAGGTGAACACAAAGCATTTGCAGAACCTGGGTGTTGACAAGCAAGACCAAGCCCTCTAAGATTAGCTGACAAGAGAAGCATCTCTGAACATACCTACTTCTGTTGCGCATGTTACCAACCACCTCACCATTTCCCGCCGTCGCCAGTTCAGCGTTGACAGCGTCATACGCATCACCTATTAAAACACAAACAAAAAACAAATTAATCCCACTGAAAACCAAGCCAATATGCCCACCAGTAGGGATTTTAAGTTGCTCAAATACACCCAGGTCCAAAGTGGCAGCCTCCTGCCCTCTCCAGTCTGTTACCTCTTTACCTGACACGTCAAAAGATTTGAAAAATACTGCTCAGCTATCTTTGAGTAATTCCAACTGCAGATCCCTCAAGGCTAGAGGAGAGACTGTTTTGTCCATGGTGAAGAAAAAAATCCACCCCACAAAAAAGCTTCCCCCAACAACAAAAACCTAATCAATTACCAATTATTCCAATTATATCATGTCTCCTCCCTCTATGCACAGTAGTCTTTAAAATTGGAAACATGTTAACTCTCGTTGGGCAAACTAATCCCTTCAATTTTTCCCTCATCTGCATTTCTGTTTGTTGAATTCAATACATACAGAAGTTAATGTACTGTGATTTGAATGGCTGCTTATTCTGCAAAGATTATGTACAATTCCACATATATCCAGGTAATGTTAATAAGTCAGTATCAATGACCTCTCTCTCCAAACAAGGAGTCGGTGCAAAGAATTTCCATTGTAAAACCATCAGAATCCTAGAAAAAGGACCTAAAGCTTTGATTGTCGTGTTGACGTTTTACACCACTTGCACTTAGTGCCTATGTTGTTTCTCACAACATGGGCAAGTATGTTTAACCAGTAAAACAAGTTGTATTGGGCCTGCCTGGCGAGGTTTTGGCTGGGGGGGCTACAAGGGTGGGTGAGAACCGGCCAGACCCCCCCCTGTGTCCAACAGTGCCAGTGCCAGCCGGCTCCCAGGCAGACCCATTGCTGGCCAAGGCCGAGCCCATCAGCAACGGTGGTAGTGCCTCTGGGATAACATGGTTAAGAATGGAAACACAAAAAACAAACCAGGAAAGATTATTTTTACTTTATTTCAGAAAGAACGCTCTCTGCAGACACCAAGGTCAATGGAAAAGGAGAAAAGGGAGGTGCTCCAGGCGCCAGAGTAGAGATTCCCTGGCAGCCCATGCTGAAGGCCATGGTGAGGCAGGCTGTGCCCCTACAGTCATGGAGAGCAGAGACCCACCTGCAGCCTGGGGAGGACCCCACACAGGAGCAGGGGGATGTGCGTGAAGAAGTCTGTGACTCTGTGGGAAGCACAGGCTGGAGCAGGCTGCTCCTGAAGGACTGCACTCCATGGAAGGGACCCATGCTGGAACAGTTCATGAAGAACTGCAGCCCCTGGGAACGACTCATTGGAGAAGTTCATGGAGGACTGCTGAAGTATTGAGGCCTAAGCAACAGGCCTCAAACCAAGGTTGACTTCTGGGTGTCACCCGATCCATACCATATAAAGTCTCACAGGAAAACTGAAGATTGTACCAGTTACCATTCTTCCTCATAAGAATGAATACACAAAGAACTGAATAACTGTAGTAGTTAGTATTCTTCCCGTCGACTGCGCCCTGGGCCCTGGCAAGGCCTGGGCACATCAGATAGAAACAGATACACGGACCTTCAACGGAACAGATATTTCTGTGTTCATAGTCACGTTGAAGATATTGCTGGGACAGTTCTCCAGTCCTTCGCTGTGATGGGACTCCACAGCTGATGCATAGATCCAGATGATGCTAAAGTATTAGGGCAACTGGTGATGTATCTTTCTTAATCACTACCACTCACTTTATGTAGTAATGATAAGCATTACTTTGCAAAGCATTTACTAAGCAAAGCATTACTTTGCTTATTCTTCCTGCTGCTTCAAAGTAAAGTAAGCTTATCTTTTTAACTTGGTGTCTGTGTCCTTTCTGTTGACCCTATCAATTGGCAAAACAACTGTCTCCCGTAGGAGGGACTCCACAACGGAGCAGGGAGAGAGAGTGAGGAGTCTTCCCTGAGGAGGAAAGAGCAGCAGAGATAACGTGTGATGGACTGACCACAAACCCCATTTCCCATGCCCCTGTGCTGCTTGGGAGAGGAGACAGAGAAAAGCAGGAGTGAATTTGAGCCCAGGAAGAAGGCAGGGGTGGGAGGAAGGTGTTTTAAGATTTGGTTTTAGTTCTCTTTTTACTGATTTTTATTGACAAATTAATTTTTTCCCAAGCAGAGCCTGCTTTGCCTCTGACCATACTTGCTGAATGATCCCTCCTTGCCCATATCTTGAGCTGCAAGCTTTTCAACGTATTTTCTCTCCCCTGCCCAGCTGAGGAGGGCAGTGATAGAGCGGCATTGGTGGGCACCCAGCCCCCAGCCAGGGTCAACCCACCACACAAACACTACAAGGAAATTGCACGTAAAGCTTGCTGCAGCTACCTGGACAGACCCCACATATATCTAGGTGAAGAAAGCAGGTAGTTTTCCCCACATAATGTGTTCATACTACGGTATTACTATTTGTAGCAATTAAATAAAGTGCATACTAGGTCAATCATAGAACTCTCAGTGATGATCTTTACATATTAAACTCAATAAATGCACTCACAAAACAGCTTGGAGTCAGCAGCATTCCTAAGAGTGTTCTCATCCCATACCCCCTCCCAGTCCTAAGGTGACTTCCAAGTGGCATGTAGCCCTCTGTCATATTTGCTACTCCTGACACCTCCTTTAGTACTAAGCTATAGATAGGATAATAAAGACTGAAAAATTGCTGAGCACAAATGCACAGATGATCTGTAAGAAGTCTGGTTACAAGCAACCATGAATGTTTCCAGGCTGGGCTCTAAACATTCCCACCTGGAGTCCTCAGTGACTAGTTGTACATCACCCAAAGTTAGAGGGTAAGGCCAGCTTTGTTGGCCTCTGACACTGTGGTATCATTTACCGAAACAGTAATCTGTGTGTTAGATTGTGGAATAGCATTTAGAAAGAAAGCAAACTGATCTGTATGGAGCAACCCAGCATATTTTAAAATATGCATATACGGCTAAGGTAAATCACGCAACTACCCTTTGCTTGAAGTCTTTTCAGAAAGAAAAACAGGCCGCTCCAAGTGGAAGTGTTTTAGAGAGCAATTATCCATCCCATGCCATCCATCCAAGGGAAGGACTTGAGGGAACTTCCTGTAGTGATGAACACACAAACTGAAGGCTATCACTCTTCCAACATCCATGATGAATTTTCAGTTTTCTCCAAGTAGAACAAATCCAAGAGAAAATACAGGGTTATGGACTGAATTCTGCTACTGGTGAGGGAGGGAAGGAGGTAAAAAAACCCCAGCATGAACAGCAACTTCTCTGAAAGTCTATTCTGATGACTTCCTGTACTGTGGTGTTCTGTATAAAGATCAGCAGTCACAAGAGCCTTCAGCACGTGAAGTGGGCATAATAATAGTTCCAGTGTAGACAGTCCTAACACTAGAGCAAAAAACACCACCATGTTTTTTGACATGGAAAAGTTTCTTGCTGAACTCTTCTGGAATTAGGCTCCTCTCATGTCATTAAACTGACAAGCTTACAATGGCGAGAGAAGGGCCCTTTACTGATGCCAAAAATCCAGGGATTTCAAACAAAGGATGTATTTATGTCCTGACCAGGGAAGAGTGGAAATCTACTGCAGCATATGTAGCCGAAGAACTGCTTCACTTCTGCTCAATACATTCTTGAGCTACCTATTCCTTCAAGGGAATTCCACATCTGTCCAAGATTTATCCAAGATCTCTGTTATCCATTGAAGAGCACTTCTCAACAAGCCAGGAAGTCTGAAAATGACAAGAGGCCCCTGGGAATTACATAGCTTACAAAACTGAGCTCTTTTCTACACAGGATAACCTTGACTTTGTCTTGATGGATCTTTATAAGAATTTCTTATAAAGGAACAGAAGACCTCACCACCCGTATGTGACACAAGAAATAGCCAACCAACCATTAGCTCCTGCATCAATGTGAAACCTCTTCGGCATGCACAGTAGAAGGAGGTTAATCCATTTATTCATTCACAGGTTTTGGGGGAAGGACACAACTTTCCAGATTCACATAGAGTGATCACCTGCACTAATTTGCTCAGTCCTCCTGGCAGTAGTACCTCCTCACCTGTGTGCCGTAATACTTACTTGCACTGGTGTAGCATACAACAGGCAAATAGAGGAATAGAAGCCCCTCCTGCACCCGCAGATCTTACAGCATCTGCGCCAGTAAGGCCCAGAAGGACAGAATCCACCTGAGATGCTCCATGCACATTTGGCCACACTGATCACCTCTTTCCAAGCCAGTTTAAAAGCCTTCCCTCTGCTGAGTCAGACAACACATGCTGCCATTGGCAACAGGTAGAAAGAACCCAGGAGTCTAGACATTACTCCTACATCTAGAACAATATAAGAGGCTTTTCTGTCACAGAGATCCCAGTGACAGAGTTGTGAAATTGTTGGCATCACCTCCTTGGCCCAGCCAGGACAACTTGTTATTGCTGTGGTCAAGGCAGAACAGTTTACCTGCGAGGACACTGCTGTTCAGTTTATCATGTGAGGGGAAGGAGTTTTCTAGGGCATGAGTATCTTAAGTAGTCAGATACTAGATAGTAAACACAGACAATCTGTAATTGCCATGAAGTCCCAGGCTGGCGGGGGGGAGGGCAGGGAAAGTGAGAAGCATCTGTAGGGCACTAGACAGTGCTGACACTAAGATTTTTGCAGGAAAAGTGTTACTCTAGAAATCTACACAACTATGAGTTACTACCAGAAAAGTGCTATGCATCTTCCTTCTGGAAAGCAAAATACCTTTAAGACTCTTATAACACCTTTTGTAAGCTTGGGAGAGAATAGTGGACAAGTTCCAAAGTTTTTTTTCAACACCCTAGGACTGAGGAGAAAGTATGGGTTCATGGTACTTCTTTCACTAGATGTCACTGAAGACATTCTGATGACATCATCAACCACAAAGGGGTATCCATGAATACTGTGATACACAAACTGTGCTGCTACCACTGAGTGATACTTGGTGAATGGCTGAGATGACACACAGACCAAGCATAAGTATCTCTCTCTCAAGTAAACAAGCATTTACGGCAGAAACATACCAAGACGGGGAAAAAAAACCAGGCAGCAGATTTCCACAGCAACCCCAGGAATTCAAAAGACTAACAAAGCATACAGATTCTCAGCTTTCTGACTAAACACTTCAGCTTCTAGATGTCTAGAATAGACAAATAGTACCTTTCTTTGGCATGAGAAGCAACTGGGATAATATCCTTTCCCCAGAAGTGTCTGGAGCTTTGTTTACTGAAGCACAGTAATGAATGTTTTTCTGATCTTTGCATGTGTTTGGGTTTTTTGATTTTTTTTTTTTAAGAACCCCCTGAAGAGTGATGAAGAGATTTACTTTGGTTGAACTGAACTGTGTAAACTCCAAGATTCATCAGTGTCAGGCAATGTTACTCCAGATACCTAAAACTCACCTGTCATCTTTTAGCTTGCAAAAGCTCTCCTAAGAGCCTGAAAACCAATCTGAGGTTCTTGTACACCTCAAGCAGAGTCCGATATACCTGACTGTCCCACTACTTGTGGAGTACAGGATTTTGATGAAGGAAGTGAGAGGACTGCTGTTAGCACAGTCTGCCTTAGAAAAGGGTCATTAGGGTTGATCTTGGCTTTCTCTAGTAGTTCAACAAGTACCTACCAAGTTTCATTTAGGGGAAAGGGATGGAAGGAATGGTAAGAAACTCTCAAGGCCATGCAGGAAATACAATGCATTTCTGGCAAGCAGAACAATTTTGCTTTCTAGCCAGTCTGACATATACTCCTAGAACCCATTACACTGGTCCTCACTCACAGAACAGTGCCCTGCGGCCAGCCGCTTCCAGCTCTCTGTTCCACCCCAATGGCACAAGCGGGCTGTGTGAACCCTTGGTCTGTGTTTCCTTGTCCATTGAGCTTTGTATCAGAAAAGAGAATCTGAAATTCCCGACAGAGCCCAAAGAGGGTATGGTGCTCAGTGATTAAAAGCTCTACCCACCAACACTTGGTCAAATTCCCTTCTACTGGAATGATTGCAGGAAATACCTGAAGGCCCAACTCCAGAGAAACTTTCAGAAGAGTGATGTCTGGCAAGCTGTCCATGAGTGTGGCTATTTTAAATGCATCCTGGGCAAGTTTGAAGATGTGTGATGAAGAGTGGATATTTTTCTGGATGGATTCTAACACTGTTTCCAGTCTCCGAACATCACCTGCAAGGCATAAACAGAATCATCAACACGGAGCAAGCTCCCAAAACATCCAGAGATGCATAATTGAGCCTGACGTTGCTATGCAATAGCATGACGTTTCAGTTATATGCACTCCGATTTTAGAAAGCTTCCATAATTAAATCACATATGAATGAAAGATACAAGACAATACACACCCCACCAGTGCCCTCATGGCATCACTGGAGTACACGGCCAAAAGTCATCCTGAGTTGCGAATTTTAGAAGTGATTTGTCCACTCCTGGGTCTCTCAGTCTACGTTGTGTGTCAGAAGAACAAAAAGCTGTCTCATCAGCCTCAAATCAAGCTCATCCTGGCTACCATCTAGCTAGCTAGAAGGCTAAGTGACAGGTTTAAGCCAGTTCAGTTTGTTGCACACATTTCAAGCTACTCTCAGACTGCAATTTGGATTCCTAAACACAAGTTTTATAATCTGTTTACTCCATGCAGTATTAAAAGCATGCATTTAGCTGAGTACATAACTGACAGCAACGTACCTTTGGCTGCTGTTAGCATGGTCGATGCCAGCTCACACTGCTGGGATTCAATGTGACTTAGGGTGAACCAGCGGGGATACCGGTTTGGAACAACTGATGCAATGTGGTGTGGGCGGGACATGTCTCCTGAAGGAGCTGTGGATTCCAATACTAGCAACCTGAAATAAGGAAGACATACGGTTTTATTAAATTGTTATTACATTAGGTTACTCATGAGCAAAATGAAAGCCACAAGAACAGCTGACCCTGTTTATGAAATATGCCTTTTTTCTTATTAAAAAAAGAGATTAGTAAACCACTTCTCTTCTTGGGGAATCTTAAAAACTTGCCTACATCAGTGGGCATTGGCAGGAATTCACAATTAAGCTACCCATTAGCCAAGGCAGCAGAGACTTTCTGCATCACACCTAGCGCTGAAGCTTTTCTCCTTGCCTTGTTTCAGTATTTGAACCACAGCACTTAGGAAGGAAAGTGAAGTAGTTATCCACTGTACTAAGAATGTGTAAATATTTTGTAATATTTGGAACATACTTTCTTTCCTTACAAATGCTCAAAGGGAGAGGGATAGTCAACAAGTCATTCTATTTTGACTTTGCAATAAATTCAGACACGAATTTATGTCCACAAAGGACATTTTACTGTTCAACTATGACTACTTCCTAAAGTCTTGAACTTTAGCCTATCCATGTTTTATAAACTATAATAAATAATCTAATGTTATGGTTCCAAACAGCAGTGACAGAGGAAGTTTCCTTTAAAGTTACTTCTCAGACTCCATTTTCTAATAATGAAACAAAAATTTCTTTCCTTATGCATCAATCTTAAACAGTCTTATCCACTAAGGAAAATTCACACTTAGAAAATTCAAATTAATGTGTTCGTTGTTGACTACCACAACACAAGTAATGGCTCACAGAGACTCAACTGATGGCCTTTACAATACACTAGATACAATTAGTACAGTAGATAGTATATAAATGCCAATCTAAAATGTAGGAGTGAACAAAAATAGGCATTTTTATTCAATACAATTAAGCATAGTTTCAGGACATGAATGGTTAATGACACAAATGACAGTAATAAGATAATGACCAGAAGAAAAGCCTTTCCAGTGCTTAGCTTCTTGATCAAGGTTAACATCTGAGTTCTGTTTCTACCAGCTTTCATGTGAAATGATTTTCTAGCAGGAAGTAATCTGGGAGGACAAAGGAAATTGGATCCCTTCAGTCAATAAAATTGCAACTACCAAATACTGAAAAGTCCATTGCATTGTGATTTTCTGTGATCAAATACTTCTTATGGAATAAGCTCATTTAAACATAAGTTACAATTTCGTGCATTTAAACAAATACCCAAGTTTAAGTAACTGGAGTGCATGTCTGTTTTTTTCAGTAAAATAATTTGAAGTTTCAACAGTTTTCTGTAGATTCCTGAAGCATATGACAGTATCTTTAAGAATTCCCCAAGAAAGGTAATTTTGAATATAAAGGAGGGTATCTAACAGACATACATAAATACAACACACCATATAAATAACTATCAGCAGGTTATATTAACATTTTCAGACACATATATGTGCATGCTAAGATAAAGTGACTTCCCTTTTGATTTGTATTGAGTCAAATCTCTTCCCTAGTACCACTGAAACACCTCTTTATATAGGCTTTATATAAATAAATACATATAAAATCTTCAGCTGATTTTGTCCAAGCATAGAGAGGGGGCAGGGGAAGAGACACATTATTAGATAGTTTCAATAAACAGTAAAAATCCAAATTACCTAATGCAAAAAGGGATTATTAGGTTAGGAGTAACAGTAAATAAACAAAGAACATGAAAGAAAGGCTGTTTTGGGGAAATCTTTTGTCACTGAATATCACTGCCAGCTTTTATGGTTTTTTGCTATGAAAAGAAACACTGTTGTGAATTGGTGGCTTTCATGCACTTTTGGCAAGATTAGGGAACATCAGAACAAGCACCAGCAGATTTAGCATTCTTTGCTTTTTCCCCTCCCCCTTTTGAATTTCAATTATTTAGCTAGATTTTAGCAAAGCTACCTTGTGATTAAACATCACCATTAAAGTCTGGCTCCCAAAGCCTGGGTGAAATTCAGGCTTAACAAGGGATGTTCCAAACCAAGCCAAACATTCAAGGTCAGATTCCAAGTGAGCAATCAACTAGGTCACTTCAGATCCACTTTCTCCAAGGCCCTACTCCATGTTTCCGTGCTGACAGCAGAGGACTGTAGACGTAAGTGACCACCAAGGATAGCACACCCAGTCCTTGCAGACCTGAGGTATATACATGAAAGGCTTTATGGTCTCAATTTCCATTGATTTCCTACTGACTGTTCCACACACTAAAACAGGATTCAAAAAATGAAACAGCAACAGACGATTATGAATACAGACAGGCAAAACACTCCAGAGCTGCTGTCATGGGTCACTGAGCCACGTAGACTTGTGTGCAGACTGACACTAAACACTTATGTCTGGAAAGCAACCAGCTGGAATCTTGGAAAGTTAACTTTTTTAATAAACACTGAACTGAAGAAAGAAATATGCTCTGCTCCACTTCTAAAACATGAGCAACTGCAGACTCTGTGTGGCACCTTTACTAATTTTCACATGAGATTTTTTGCTCTTGCCACAGCCATTTCCTTCCTGCCATGGAAGAAAAGATGCTCAGGTTTTCCATTCAACCTCACAACCACAAGAGAGACAATCTTCATGACTGCTTTCTTCTTCTCCCCTCAAGGCAGCATTGTTACTTTTTCATTCGGTTTGTACTGGGAGTCTTTTATCCACTGAAGTACCACTCTGGTGTGAATGGAAAGAGTAACCAACCTTCTTCATGAGAACTGAGAAATGCTGAGGAACGCAGACAGACATTGAATAGACAATGTCTAAACCTGCCATTATCACAGTTCAAGACAGCAGTCCACATTTCTGAAGACTGCCAAATATCAAAATACAGAAAGAGCAACTGTTGTCTAGGGCTGAACTCTCATCTGCCTTATAAAGTGATGACAAAAGGGCTATAGAGAACAGCCCTGATTACACTGATGTCTCCTGTGATTTTACCAGATGGAAACAGACAACTCTTTCTTATACTGGCCTGGTTGAAAAGTAACTTCTTTGGCTGACATGACAGCTTCATACCAAAAGATGATGGGAGCTACCCATGACTAAATGGAGATGTCGTCATTTAGATCTTTGTGTCTTGCTTGTTTTTCCAGTTGAGAAAAGAAACTTCCAGAAAATAAGTTTTCAGTTATGACTGGTTTCTGGGCAAAGTCCAAATCTTGTTCAAAAGGAATGACATGCTGCCATCACGTTCACTGAAGCATTCAGTGCACAGCGCAGAGCCGCTGATGGATGCCTATTCCAGCCTTTCAGCATGGTTCGAGTACTTTCGTTTAAGGAGGAAAACGCCACACAAACAATCTCTGAGAAACACTCTGAGGTAGCAACTGAAAATAAATACAAGGACACAAGTCTATTTGATAAATTGACCTTCACTTCTAAAAAAAAAAAAACAACCAAAAAACCAATCAAACAAAACCCCCACTCACCACATTTTGCACTGTCTTGCTGATCTGATATGACCAGGTTTGCAGATGTGCTTAATGTGCAATAAAAGAAGGGTGTACCTAGATGGCCCAGACAGCTTTTTGGTCATAGGTGTTAATGTTCTCAACAGTTCATTAGAAATGCATGTCTTCCCAACTTACTGCCTAAAATGCTAATCATAAGCAGCAAGTATGCAAGGTCACTCTTCCTGTTTCTTAGACTCTTTCTTTAACATCCACCACTAGATACTCTTGGAGACAAAAGAACCCTAAAATCAGCTAAGATGACCTTTTAGCCTGACTCGATAGAAGCTATGTTTTGTTCTTATGCATGTCCTTCCATTCAGTCCTCTGAACTCAGAATTATTTTCTCCCATTTAGCTTTTTGGAGAAAAGACCTTCCAAATACACACCTCCAAACCTTTCTGATGAAGCCAAGTAGTACTTACATGGATAGTGTTTCCTTCAATCACTGTGCAATCCATTCTGTATAATAATGACCAGGAAAACCCAACACTTTTTTTTTTTTTAAATCCAAGACTTCATCGCTCCTAGTATTCAGCTGTGGCTATTCTTTGTCAACCATCGACTACAAGGTTCTTGACAATCAGACAATCCAGATAGGACCATTTTCTTCCCCCCACTGTATGTGGACAACAGATCTATCGCTGCTCATTTAAGCCCTTAAAACTTCCTTCTGAAGGCTCTTCTTAGCTACCACTAACAATGTTGCCTGCCTTGAGATAAAGCCAGGGCACACTGAGCATTCCATGAGAAACACCTTTTTCCTGATTACTGAAGTCAAATAGGATGCAAATTAGACATTTTGTTGCCATATAACATGTCCATTTAAATCCCAACATCCATCCAAAAGTGGGCAAGACTGCATCGTTATGCAGCACAAAGAGAAAGTACTGGCTCAGACTACACCATATGCTTTCAAATCTATCACTGAGAGTTAATTTATAAGCGACAATAGAAGAAACAGTCCTACCGAACAGGCTAAGCAGCAGATGATCCTCAGACTGCTGGTGAGATGCCTCTTCCCTCATTTCCTCGTCAATACCATCACACACAAAACTACACAGGTTACAGAACACACGTGCTAAAGCTGTCACTGTTTAACACAAAACCATGTGCCCCAGGAATGGGATTCTAGAAGGATTTGTAACAGAGAATGCTGTTTTACAGCTGCAGATAAACACTAATTGAACATTCACAAATGACTATACTGAGTTACTACAGACACCAAATGCTTTTACAGATGACAGAACAAAAATAATTTCTCCTTAAAAGGAAGAATGTTTTTTTTTTTTTTTTAGAAACAAAGACTAGGTCTTGATTACTAAACTTTTTCCTCTTTTCCCAACCGCTACTTGTGTTCTTTCTAGAATACTTATGAATACATACCGCATGGCTCTCAGTGCAGTTTTGTATGCCAATTCAGCATCATGAGGTAGGAGAGAGGTGAAGAGATACTTGGCAAATGTGTGCATTGGAACACTCTCTCGATGGATGACTTCGCCTAAACCACTATATGGTCGAGGGAAAGAACAGAGAAGAGAACATCAGTCTTCACACACTGCTAAAACCCAACTTCTGGACCTTTAAAAACATTCACTACACCTTCAGTTAGAACTGGTATTCAGAGCCTGCTGTACAAAAGGTAAAGTCGTATTGCTATTTTCTGTGAAATGTATTACACATATATCACATACATACCATGTATTACAAGTATATTAAATACCATATATTCTTTGAGACAGCAACACAGACCGCAAATTGTATAGTACTGCGCACACTGCCAGTGCGCATACAAATGACAACTGCCTCAGTGCTCCGCAGGGGTCATCCAGCAAGCCTGTGGCATGCAAAGCAGAAAGTGATAATCCTAGCTTTGCCTCCACACAGTTACATTGTGCATGTGAATCCCTCTGCATGCTGTTGGTAGGTAACTGCTTTATCACAAATGCACCACCAAAAACAAACAAAAAAAAAGAGTGGTTACTGCGGAAAAACGCGTGTCTTTAATTGAAGTTACATGACCAATCGCCACAGCGGCATCTGATCCCTAGTAATGCCTCATGTGACATTAGGCATTTAAATAACCCTTTGGTCTGAACTTAGTCTTCAGAGAAGACAAGGTCAGATCCTGCACAAAAGCTGGTTTTGCTAGTCCATCACAGACGCGTGATCTTTAAAACCGTATTTGTTGTGGGAAAACTATCCCCATTGTTGGGGCAATGGATTTTGCTCACTCAGTTCAGCCAGTGTAGTATTTCAACCACGTAACAGCAGCATCAGGATTGACAACAACAACAAGGTTAAATGCAACTATTTCCTTGATGAGTTCTGAAAATTCCTATTTTTTTACATTTTTGCTGCAACCTTAAGACTGTTATTCCTGTTAACAGAAAAACTGTGTCAAACAGTTTTTGACTTCTGCAACTAGGGATTCAGGCACTAAATGCTGCAAGATATGGAATAAGACTCTTACATCCAATATTATGGGACTATTACTGCACAGCCAGCAGCCAGCAGTCCTGGAAGCTACTATTACTTCTTCTGCAAGAGACTCCAGCCCACCACCCTTGAACGGACGGAAGAATGAATGACACATGTAAGCATACTACTTTGCTGCACAGTCGCATGTGTCATTTAAACTGTTTCTAGCAGCGGTTCAAACTACCATGGCCAACTCTACACTGTGGCAGATGAGAACAGAAACAGCCAAGCTATTTCAGCAGTGTTTTTCTGATCAGTGCCCTAGCACAACATGCAAAGATAAAAATCACTAGGCATGAAAAAATTCTGGGCTCCATAGGTGGGCATTTATGAAGACTGGGTCTGATTACAAAGGAAACGCCAATGAAGATTTAGTAGGTGACAGTGTGTCTCAATCCTTTAAAAAGAAGTTGAAAGCCATACAAAACTAGCTGGCATTGCTTCAGTGAAAGAAGCCATTTCACGTATGTTTGCCAGTTGGTGGTCTAGTCAGGAACTCAGTGAGGACACGTAGAATACATGACAAAGCATTTGTATGAAAATATATCCTGTCATTAACTTAGCAGTCAAGCAAAAAATTAGAACAGTTCTTGCAAAACAGTCTTACATTCTGCTTTCCCATGCACTCAAATGGTAGCTACATACAGCATGCATTAATCTGCATTAAGAGCATGGAAGTCGGCTTAATATTGGATTAAGCTTTCTTTATTGTATCTACAGGACTTTGACTATAAAAACACAAGTGATATGATTAGCATCTTAAATCACTGCACAGTTGTTCCTCCATGTGAGCTGGCAGTTTCTGCCTAACCTGGAGTAAAATGAAGCTATTGCAGGAAAGCTGGATACCTCAGCCCACTTTAGTGCAAGAACACACTGCTCACCACAGCAATTTGTAGGTAGTTATATTAGTAGATTTCCTGCTACAATCACTTGTTTACTAACATAAGAAAACATTGACATTCTTTTAATGATCAAAGTAGTAAACTAGAATTATCAGGGAACACTTTAGAGAAATCCTGCTTTTTCCTCATAAAGCATCCTTACCAGTAAATAGATGCAGGAAACTGATTTTATAATCCATAGGATCCCTGTATAGTGGTTAATAGCTGGATCCAGCAAGCAGCTGTTCTTGTCCAAAGGTCATAAAGCAGCAGTACAGCCACACCATAACTGAAACTCTCCCCATAGTGCAGCTTCTCTGCATTTTCAAATGGCACCACCAGTAGGTACCGAAGCCTTTAAGGATCTGGGCAAAAACAGTGACTCAAAGCTGAGAACCCTAAACAACATACTGCACCTCTTCCATGAAACAGGAAGTTTTAAAAGACAAACGTTGTACAGAAAGAAAGCAAAACCTGACCGCTGTGTAAGTCTTCACAGCTTACCTACAGCAGTACCACACTCTTCACCACCCCTTGAGTAAGCACTCGAAACTAGAACCATGCCTTTGGCTAATTGGTTCCTTTACAGTATTTTTACTTCCATTTGAAAAACCAAAAACGAGAAAAACAAGCTCAGAACCCATGAGACTACTCTCTGAACATGAGGCTTAAGTGCCACATGTTAACCCTGTTTAAAAGCTAAGGCAAAAGTATGCACTTTAGTGTACAGATTTTATTGCAACACACCAGCTAATTCCAAAACACAAACTGTTTTGGTCAAAATTTAATCACGAGACCAGGCTTTAAGCCCTCAATATTTGACCATGTATTTCAATTTTCACTTATAATACAAACTACAGAGGCAAGTCATTTTCCTAATTGCTGAAAATAAAGTGTTACATTTCTGCCCCAGGAATTCTAAGTGTGTTTTCTCAGCTTTTCACTTGTGAAGACAGGTAAAAATCTTCATACATTTACAAAGCTGCCAATCCCCCATTCAGGATACAAGAATTTCACTATGTGAGAACTGTTGATGATAACATGTCTGTATTATTTAACTGTGAGCCTGGGTTGTTTAATCAGGATACTGAGATTATGACAACAAATCTAAAGAACAAAAAGTAATAAAAATAAAACCAGAAGGCTTATAGGTCAACAGATGCCTTATCTCTACAGTCATGTGATACCTTAAGTATGTTTGATTTTCATAAGGGATTGGAAACAAAGTTTTGCTGGAGTCGTGTATCAAAAAATATCCAAAGTGAAAAAAAATTATCCGAAGCATGTAAAACAGTTTCCACCGGAATACTAGTTCTGTGTGCTGGTGCAAGTGAAGCCAGTTAGCATCTATACTGAAGCACTTAGCATCTATATTGAGCTACCTTCTAATAGGAAGACTGCTTGCTTTCGAAAAATCTTCACCAGAGTATCATCCAATTCAATTTCCTGTAGCTTAGAAATGAGCTGCTCCTCATTCCGACAAACCTTCTCTTGTGCATACAAGCCATCTGGCATTATTCGTTGCTGTCCAAGCCCTATCAATGCTATTTCCACAGCCAGAGTTAAATATGATTCCCCTTCTTCTAAAAACTTGTGTGCAGGCAGGTGCTGGTACTCCAGAGATTTGCAATGCCCCATGTTCTCTGTAAGGGGTGACACAGAGGAAAACACATCAGCAAATCACTCCAACCCACAGTCTGCATATGATGCCACATATACAAATGCTTCCTCTCTGTTAATACTGATTTTTTAAAATTATTTAAATTACTACTACAATCTCAAAATCCAATGATCCGACCAAAAATACTTATTTTTAAACTGCACAATTAAGAGAAAGGCAGTTTCTCCAGCTCTGTGTTAATGAGGCCAAAATTGGAAGATCCATTTCAAATTGTTTTCCCCAGCCATTTCTATATCTCCTCAAAGCCTTGATGTGCACGAGGAAGGGAGAGGTGCTTATACACCTGCACAGATTTTGGTTGAAGCTCTTAGGGTTGTGCAAATACAACAGGCCTGGGGACTCCACAACTTTAAAGCATCCTCTGTTTGCTAGTGGTCTTTTCAGGCTTTTTTTATTGGTTACAATTGTACTTAAGGTAAAAATTTACATTATTAACACTGGAAGTCCTACTTTTAGTAAAGATTACATGTAAATTCCACAAAGACCAAGCCATAAATTGCTTTAAAGAGTACTACTGATCCATTTGGCACACACACCACTTGACAAAGCATTATTCCAAGCTGTAGCAGTTTACAGTTTAATTTGGGAACATAAAGTTACAATGCACACATGTAAGGAGATCGACAACTGCAGCAAACAGGAAGGCTGAATGTATTTGGTAGACTGCATACGCCTGTGTAGGAGGAAGTTACTTTTCAACACACACTGCTTTTATTTCATGGCATTGTTTCGTTTGTTGGTTTGGGTTTTTTTTAATTACTGCAAAGAACCTGACCTCTGATTTCTTTTAATTACAAGTTGGATAATCAGTGGATATGGGATTACAAATTTATAGAATAAAATCTAATTGAATAAAATGAGCTCTGAGGGAAAGCCCCAAGACGACTGTGGCTGTGTATATAAAAAAAGCTGCAGGTAGAGTGATAAATTCAGTTTCTGTCCACACAGGTGGCAGTAAGAAGCTACTGCAGAGGTGGAAAGAGACTGAGAATAAAGTATTAATCTCTCGGGAAGCAAATACTGAAACTAAAATGGGCATACACATACTATCCTAAATCATGTATCAATACCACAACACCTCTTTCCAATTCCTGTCATTTATCGACCAGGTATGTTATCAATTTTAAGTGTTTTGTCATCAATTTGAAATGTTATGTACGCTTGTAGCTAAAAAGTCCTATAACATCCTGGGCTGCAGTAGGGGGAGTGTTGCCAGCAGGTCAAGGGAGATGATCCTCTCCCTCTGCTAAGCACTGATGAGCCTGCACCTGGAGTGCTGTGTCCAGCTGTAGGCTTCCCAGTACATGGACATGCTGGATCAGATCCAGTGCAGGGACACAAAGATGATTAAAGGACTGCAGCATCTCTCATTGTGAGAGTGAGAAAGGTGGGATTATTTAGCCTGGAAAAGAGAAGGCTCAGGAGGATCTTACCAAAAATGTATAAATATCTGATGGGAGAATGTAAAGAAGACAGTGCCAGACTCTTCTCAGTGGTATCCTGTGACATGACAAGCGGCAATGGGCACAAACTGAAATATAGGAAATTCCATCTGAGCATAAGAAAACACTTTTTTACTGTGAGGGTGGTTGAACAGTACAAGAGGTTGCCCAGACAGGTTGTACAGTGCTCATTCTTGGAGTTATTAAAAAAACAACTGGACACAGTCTTGTGCGACCTGCTCGAGATGACCCTGCTCTGAGCAGAGCAGTTGGACTAGATGACTTCCAAAGGTGCCTTCCAACCTCACACTTCTGTGATCCTGTGATTTCCTGCAATTTCTCAGGAAGAGGACAGAGCAATGTATGTGCAGAGGGTTACTGCTATAAAGTCTTATTTGGTTTTATTCCAATTGTGAAATACACAGTTGTCTTCAAGAACAAGTAACTGACAATTTCTTTAAGTGCATTTATATTTTACTTTAAACATTTTCTCTCCCTTGTGTTTTCTTAAAGAATGCAAATGTGAGTTCTTATACTACAGAAACACTGACTTTGAAGCCAATTCAGAGAGGCAAGATAGTTAAATGCCTCTGGTAAATGAAGATGTATAGAAGATTGCTCCCTTTCCTTGGCCTTACCTGTGAAGTCTGAGAATCCATGGAAACTATCATCATCCACCCTGCAGGCTTCCATCAGGCTACTGAAGAGAGTGCCAATGGGATCCAAAGGGTGTCCCACCCAACCTTCAAGATTTGTTACTGAGGTTACTGTGGAGTAGTTCTGTGACAGTAAAGATGGAGGGATGGAAATAGATCACATATTAGCCCATCAAAACAACTATAAAACTGATTAAAATGATTTTAGTACAGAATTCAAGGTATTTCCAGTAGCTTCTGCTTAGAAGGAGAAAACAATATCTTTCTGGGTGAATTCATTGCCCTTTGCAAATATGTTAAAGGAGTTAAAAAGAAGAATGAATGCCAAACATTTCAAGCACTAGCAAAGTGTATGGGTCAAGAATTTCAACTGCACTGTCCTTTGAAATCTCTTACTCAAAACCAGTAACTGTTTTGAAAAAGCCTGCTGAAAAATTACATCAAGGACTTTTTTTGGTAAAATATTCACAACAGTTTCCTCACTCAAAAAGATGCAGTACTATTTTTACTTTATTTCAGTGCATCAAATGAACATATTCTAAAATGTTCCGATTTCATATATAAAATATGAGCTTATTCTGTATCTTAATATTTATTGAAGTAATAAACTCAGGATGACAGCTCCTTAAAAAAAAAAAAAGAATGTTTAAATGAGGCATACAAGAAAAAATTGTCCTTCAAGGAGATCAAGTGCATTTTGTCATTCTAGAATTTCAGTCTAATACCTTCACAGTTACTTTGTTTGTAGCCCTCACCTCATTCAGTTAGAACATGGAAAAATTGTTTAGCACAGTGAATTGAAGGATGTGTGGTTGTGGTATCAGATATTAGTAAAAAAGAAGGATTTGGGGAATCTCTAAGAGTGTTATGGCAACCGATCCCCTTTGCCTCCAGCTCCCAACTTTTTTCCTCCTAGAACGATATGCAAAACAGCTACGAGAGACCAGATGCGTTACGGGTGACCACTTAACAACTGTACACAAGCCATCAGGGATGCTCTGTTCCTCCGCGTGTTATGCACTAACTCGCTCTCTTGTTCACAAAGTACCATCTTTCTGAGCAACCACATATGTATTACCACAGAGCTTTTAAATCCTGCTCCTTGCTGATTTAAATGTGTGGGCTTCAACATGAAACAGGCACACTGTTGGGAGGGTGGGGTATTTTTAACGAATCCACTGATACGTAATATGAAAGACAAACAAGTAAATCATTGCCTTACTAACAAATAGCATGTACTAAAGACGACAGGCAGAAGCAAGTAGTATTACCAAAAAAGGATTAATCACGCTGACTTCTTACTGACTCACTCATGTTCTTTCTGTTCTATTGTGCCTACTTATGAGCTTCACTCATGTCATGCCAAACAAAAGCTTCGGTCCTCCAGTCATATAGACATTTAACTTTAAATCACGCAAGTGGTTTCACGGACATCAGATCAGCCACACGAATAAAAAGTTAAGTAGAAGCATGTGGTATTTGCTGAACTAAAACCTAAAGCTGGGCTGAAGCTGCAGAATTCATCTGCTTTTAGGTAAGGCCCACACATTTTGCGGTACTAAGAGTGCTGTTTAAAAAATTCCACAGAAGAAGAAAAAAATTAAAAAGCAGTAAGTGATAACCCAGAAACAAACCTCTTCATTTCAGAGCAGGATGGATCACATTTCATACACTTTTTTATTTATAATAGCACAATATTAGTTGACAGCTCCAGAAACTGCTCACAGGGAAAGGAACTTATCAGAAGTATTGGAAGTCAAGGTACTGCATTAGCAACTGGGAATGAAAAGGAGCAGTACTATGACCAGCACACTTGCAGCAGACCCTTCAACACCTGCCACTGGTACTTACGCACATGTACACTGGTATAGGCCCCTCCCTTTTTACCCTCCCCTTCCCAGTCTAAGAAGCTAGAAAAGCTGCAAAGCTTTTAAGGGAACACTTGTTAAGGAAAGATACATTACATGACAAAAGACTTAGCAGATTCTCCTAAGTAATAATACAAATTGCTTTTAAGTTTTGTTCAAATCCACAGCAGTGCTCAAAAAAATCTTCTTCCTTGGGTACCGGGGAAGGGGAATAAATGGAGACACACAGGAACTGCCAGCTAGTTTCCTTTTCACTCAGGTCTCTACCTTGTCTTCTAAATGTTCATTTCTGGGAAAACACCTGCACAGACCCTTGAAAAATTTACTCATATGACTTCACACTGGTATTTTTGCCTACAGTGCAGAAGGATACACAGTTAGGAGTAGCAACAAAGATCTAAAATAAAATTTGAATTAAGGGATTCTTGTAGCAGCTGAGAAAGTAATTTTTCCTTGTGCATTTTTTAATCAAAGCCATCCCTTTCTTTCACTGCCTCTCCAAACCAACAAGAAATTTCAGTGTGGGATTATTTTGGGTAGCAAGGATCACATGGCACAGAAACTGTATCTGAAGGAGAAATGTACCTTCAAAAAACAAAAAAACCAGGAATAGTGCTGGAACACCACAGAACATTTTATAAAAAACAGTGCTTCAACACAAAAAAAAAGGTGCAATCCACTTCTATTCAGAAACACTGAAGTTTTCAGCATTATAAGAGACTCTTTTGGAACAAAATGCCAAATTTGATGAATTTCTGTAGTGCAGACTGCCTCATTGTTACCCTCAGTGTCAAATTTAGTCTTACACTTCAGAAATACACAGTTCAGTTAAATTATATGTCAGAAAAAATATTATTTTAAACACCTGGCATGCCAAATGCAAAGCTCTGTTTAAAAGCCTGTAAATTACACAGGGTGAGTATTTTCACTGTGTAACCAAAAACTCTGATGGGGATAAAGGCTCCATCATGCCAGGCATACTGCAGAAGGCAGGAACATGGCCCTTTCCCTGCACAGCTCACAACCCAGCTTACAGAACACCTCTGACATCCAGAATGGGACATTAACACCGTGATGATTTGAATCAAACAGTTAAAGTCACCTCATACACTTTAGTTTCAAAACCAGTTTTCTCATGCAAAGTTCCAGTCCGATGTTACTGTCACCTGGGCATGTCCTTTGCCCTTCTGTCTTCCCCACATTTACCTTTCTTCT